CTGTCAGTTTGTCACTTCTTTCTCCCCAAGTACTTAATTTGATTGATGGTCTAGTTACTTGTTTTGCTAATACCAGAACAGGTGGACCTTTGAGGCAAGGAGAGGCTAACCAACATTACAGACTCTACAGAGAGCAATACCAACTCTCTCCACCCCACCCTCTAAAATAGTTAAGGTCACAATTTCTCTTTCAAATTTACTTTGTTGTTCATCACATCCTGGTATATTGGAACCTTCATACATACTTCAAAGCATGAGTATGGAACCATGAGCTGGAAGTGAAGGAATATACAGCATTTAGGCAATAGGAACCAGTGTCATGCCAGCATGTCATCTGAAAAATAAGTGACCCTCATTCTTGATTCTGCTGACAGACACACTGAATTCACTTACAGGCCAGCATTTTAGTGTGATTTCTGGAAGGCAATCTAATAAATAAAGATTTAAAAAAAACAAAAGCAAAAAACATTTATTATCTTTACATGTATGGTCTAAACTGAAGAGAATGCCTTTCTAATTTAACTATATCGCAAGCCAATGTGAAATGCTAACAAGAAATAGCATCTTTTTTCTTTTAACATGGATCTACAATTAGAAGAAAAATGGGCATTTTATTGATTTTCATAAAATCATCTCCATGGCTTAACAGACTCACTAGATTGCTAAATGGTAATTTTCTAATACTATGGAATCTTTCCATTTAATTATATAACTTCCACTTGTTGGAGCCCAGGGTACTGGTTTTAGCTTTCCAGAGGACTACTACACTGATGGTCTTGCACAAAAGACAAATATCTAATACAAACTGCAAACAAATTATTGCTTATTTGGTATGGAAAGTCAAAGGAAAACTGGGAATCGTTTTCCAATGTCTTACAGTATGTTTACACACCAACACCTTCGAATGTTGACAGTGTAAAATAATTCCAATTTAAATTCTCCCTCCACCATGGTATTTCTCCTGTGATATATTATGAATATAAAAATAGAACACAAATATCCCTGCAATTATGATTTCTATTGAGACTCTAACATGAATCACTTTCAGCTCTCAAGTATTTCATAGGGGCAATTCAAAGTCAGATTTAAAGATTTCTATTAATTTCACTATAGTTAATCTGAAGGAATTAATTCAAATATCATTACTGTACTTCCTCTATATAAAAGATTATTAGACTAATCATTTCTTCTACGAGCACTTTTGTTTAGAAAAGTTAGGGCGCAAAACGAATATCACCCTTCAAGCTGATGTGGAGGTTTTTAGAGACAACAAAGCAAATATTAAAAAAAAAGAAGAAGAAGAAGAAGAATTAAGCACAAAGTTGCCTGTTCCATCAGTTTGTTTTGCCAAAGCTAGCACGTTACTAGCTGCCAAATTCGGTTTTCCTTAAGCAGGCAAAAAATTCTCACATACTTAAATGGAAATTTTATTCAAATAAGGACTGCAGATTTTTACTCAATAATCCTGTCGATCTTGAAAGAACATGGTGAAACTCTAAAGTCTACATGCTCTCTTCACAAAGTCCCTACACTTACTTCCTATTTTGTATCCTTGGTTCACGATGCCTCATTATTTCAGATCAAATTGTGTGACTAAGCAGTGCTGCCAAATAAAAATTTCATGTAATGTTTGAGCTGAAAGTGGTATTTGCTTTTGTTTCCCAGGCAGATACTATTTTGTAACTAATAGCTGTAGTTCCTCCAGCATCCTGAAATGTATGCATTCTTGTTTAACAAACAGACAAGATGACAGTATCAATACAGAGTGGGAGAGCCTCTAAAAACAATCTAGTTTGCATAATTAACATTAATTACAACATCGCAATCAGTGACACAAAAGCGTAGCAATGAATACAGTCATAAAAGGAAGTGAAAACATGAAACAAACATGAAATAATTGTCTGTCATCCTGATCGTGTCCAATACAAGTTTCAGGAGATTTATTAAAAAGTACATGTAATGCATCAAGGCAGGACACAACACCACTTCGCTAGACAGGTTTTCTTCTTAACAGTCTGTTTAGCACTGATCTTTCTGCTAAGACAGAAGTAAGTCAGACGAGTAGCGTTGTGAACGCTTCCTACAACATCAACTGCTCTCAGAAAGACTATTGAACTGCTTCTGCTCCCATTGAAATCAACAAAATTCTTCATGTCATATTGTAAAAAAGCATCTCTAACACTGCATTCCCAACTTGCCTCCCGCAAGACCTTCAGTATTCAAACTTCCCTCCAGCACAGAATTTCATTACAAAACACTGAATTTCACAACAATCTTATTCTACCTTCCACAGCATCAAGAGAAATACCCAGAATACTTACTTGCTTGCTTATTTCATTTGTAGCATAGGGATAATCTCAAACAGTTATTTCTGGTGTAATCATTTAATAGAATAACTTCGCGCTTTGTTCTCAGAAAATTTTGCCATGACCCCAAGAAATATAATATATTCTTATTTCAAAGAATAAAATTAAGTATTAAGGGCCTGATCCTGTCACCCTTACTCACACTGATTGGTACTTTAGCATGTGAGTAGTCACACCAGGATTAAAGGGACTACTCGCATAGTAAAATACCACTTAGTGTGAGTAACAGGAGCAGAACTGCCTCTGATGAGAGCTGGAATCACAGTTTGTCAAGTAAGTATTTGGAGGCTTTTTGAAAATATTGGATTCTAATCTCTTCCCATACAGATGTAAATGAAGAGTAACTCCATTAAAATTATTGGAGGTACACTAGTATAAAACTGGTTTCAGAGAGGTGAAACAGGCCTATGTATAGGGCCCCACCAAATTCACAGCCATGAAAAACGCATCATGGACCGTGAAATCTGGGCTCCTGCCATGAAATCTGGTCTGTTGGGTACTTTTACCCTATATTACACAGATTTCATGGGGGAGACCAGCATTTCTCAGATTGGGGGTCCTGGCCCAAAAGGGAGTGGGGGGGGGTCACAAGGTTATTTTAGGGAGGTTGCGGTATTGCCACCCTTATTTCTGCGCTGCCGTCAGGGCTGGGCGACCGGAGAGCGGCAGCTGTTGGCCGGGCACCCAGCTCTGAAGGCAGCACCGCCGCCAGCAGCAGCGCAGAAGTAAGGGTAGCTGTACCACGACCCCCCCGCTACAATAACCTTGTGACCACCCCACAACGCCTTCTTGGATCAGGACCCCTACAATTACAACACCTTGAAATTTCACTTTTAAATAGCTGAAACCATGAAATTTACAATTTTTAAAATCCTATGACCATGAAATTGATCAAAATGGGCCCTGAATTTGGTAGGGCCTTACCCATGTAATATTGACTCAACAGACCATATCTAAAAGGACCCCATGAGAGCAACTGTAACAGGTATTTTAAAAAGCTTCACACACATTGGTCACATTCATACTTGCTGTAAGTACACAGGGTCTGACAATGTTATAAAAGCAATGATTTTGGCTCATAATTTTTTTTTTTTATTGTGCATATCAATTAACAAAAAGTAGTTACCACTTATGAATAGTGGTCACGTTCTGAATTTAGTATCTCAGCCATCATCCCAAGGTTTTTCCTTTTCCAATGTCATGGTGACAATATATGAATTTCTCACCTCTCCAATTTGATTGCTCTGGACAATCACTGAAATCTCTGGGTTTCATTTCAGTAGTCACTGGCTAAGAAATCATAGCTATCTTGATTTCTTCTCATTTACAAATATATATATTTTAAAGGACTGTTGAAACTTGGTATACAAGATCTTAGTCTGGCACCAATTTATTTATTTTAACAAAGTTTAGCAGAAATTTCTAGTGACTGTTTTTAGCCACGAGTTAAAGACAAAATTGTAGTGTTGTAATAAAAGGAGCGTAAACATCCAAACACCGCAATTCAAAAGTAATTTATTTACCTGATTTGAATGTTGTAAGTTATTAGTCTGCTATTTAAAATATTTTATATATAGATAAAAGTACTGTATACTTTTATACATAGTATACATAGGTAAAGTACTGAGGCTTGGAAAGTATCTTCTGGAGATACACTGTAAGTACTTGTTGGGGTTGAGACTTAGTTTTTCATTTTAGCACCTTTGGATATTATGGTTACACAAAAGACAAATTAATGCTCCAGTCTCATTTTTTAATTATATATTAAACGATCAACACAAACAAATTCCAGGTCAAACTATTTTACACTAATATTTTGAATCTGAGTTTAGTCCACCACAAGGACATTCAAACTGAAGACTTAAAATCCAATTGGATACACTCATTTTCCTGTGATTCAGTTATAAGACTCATACATTCCGTATGTGTTGAAATATCTAGACAGATCAGAGTGTGCCAAGGATGCAGTGGTAGAAAAATGAATTTCCTTGTTTGTTGTGGGTTCAAACACTTTACAACTACTTAATGGTTTCGTTTTAATAAAAAGGACATACACACAGCACAAAATTTCAAAGAGTTGAGCTGCAGTATGATTTGGACAGTAAGTTGTCTACTGCTCCCTCAAAATACATGTCAATATGAATTACTTTCAGAAGTTAGTAGATATATTCCATAGAATTTTTTCTAGTCTCAAAAAGAAATATTTTTATTTCAAAACAATGAATGTATCTATCGCCATTTGATGTGGATTTGCACTGATCACAGGTACTTTATAAAAATACAAAAAATCAAAATCTAGACAGACAAGAGGGGAGTAAGGAAGAAGGAGTAAAATAAGATGAGAGGGGGAAAAGTATGATCTTTGATCCATGTCAGAGTTAACTTTAAAGAAATCAATTCAACTTTTAAACAGTTTGCAACAGATAAGTGACCCATCCAGCAAGTAGCAGTAGTAAAGGATAATGATCACATACCCTCTCGCCCACCCCCATTTTCTTTTTAATTCTACATATTTATTGAATAAGCAAACAGCACATGCCAAGACACAACCCAAACCCCATATAAGACTTTTTCTCATTAAAAGAGTGTACCACACAAAAATGTTAAGTCAGAAAGGCCATGTCTTGTACTCACCCTTTCCAGAAGAACTCAACAAATCTAGGCTCCAAGACAAGGGGGAAAGAGAGGAATAAAAATAAAGGGGAAAGGGAAGAGAGGAAGAAGAACAACCACCGAGGAACAGGACAGGGAGACAGACTGTAATAAATAGGAGCCCAGGTGCTGGAGTGGCTTTGCTCTATCCCATCACTTTGCAGCAGCCCCGGGCAGGAGGAGACTAGCTGGGGGGGAAGTTGGTGCTACAGCTGGCGGGGAGGATGTGACACTGTAGCAAGTCCAGCCAGCCAGCCATGTATCAGAGGGGGAAGCGGCGGCAGCCCATGCACGGGGGCTGGGGCAGCGCCGGGAGCAGCACCGCCTGCCCGCACACGGCATTTAATGGGATTGATGGGTTGTGCAGTGACTCACAGACTTTAGTTAGTCACAGGAGGGGGAAGAGCCCCGCCCACACTGCTCCAGGGAGCCTATGGCCAGGCCAGCCAGGCTGAGTAGCAGGGCTGCCAGCCAGTGCCCTTGCAGCTCTCACCCAAGGCTGGTGGGGGGCCCTTCGCCCAATGAGTCTTCTGAGGACACTGCTGCGAAGGGAGAGCGGGAGGAGGGGAGCCCTGTGGGGACGGAGCCTCTCCTGGTCTGGCAGCCTGGCCAATCCGCTGTGGACATCAGTTTGATGGGCATGGCACAGCCGGCCAATCAGAGGTAAGAGGGAGGCAGAGGAGGCGGCATCGTCCCCCTTTTCCTCCCCCGTCTAAATTGGTCACGCAAAGAGGGGGGAGGCTGGGAGCCTGACAGGGAGGGAGCGGGACAGATAGGTGGGGGCGTGGGCTGCACTGGGGGCGGCGAAGCCTGCTGCAGGCGCAGGGGGAGGGGAGCCCTGCCTGGAGCCTGCAGCACGCGTTGGGGGGGAGAGCCCTGTGGGAGCCTAGGGGAGGGGAAGCCCTGTTTTGGGGGAGCCTGCAGCACGCGCTGGGTGGTGGTGGGGAGCCTTGCCCTGGGAGAGCCTGCAGGGGGGGAAGCTGTCCCTCGGGGAGCCCTGTTTTGGAGGAGGGGAGGAAGCTGTCCCTGGGGGAGCCTGCAGTGGCGGGGGGGGGAAGCTATCCCTGGTGGAGCCCTGTTTTGGGGGAGGGGGAGCTGTCCCTGGGGGAGCCTGCAGTGGTGGGGGGGGAAGCTGTCCCTGGGGGAGCCCTGTTTTGGGGGGGGGAGGAAGCTGTCCCTGGGGGAGCCTGCAGTGGTGGGGGGGAAGCTATCCCTGGTGGAGCCCTGTTTTGGGGAGGGGGAGCTGTCCCTGGGGGAGCCTGCAGTGGCGGGGGGAAGCTGTCCCTGGGGGCCCTGTTTTGGGGGAGGGGGAGCTGTCCCTGGGGGAGCCTGCAGCGGGCGGGGAGGGGAAGCTGTCCCTGGGGGAGCCCTGTTTTGGGGGAGGGGGAGCTGTCCCTGGGGGAGCCTGCAGTGGCGGGGGGGGGAAGCTGTCCCTGGGGGAGCCTGCAGCGGGCGGGGAGGGGGAGGAAGCTGTCCCTAGGGGAGCCCTGTTTTGGGGGATGGGGAGCTGTCCCTGGGGGAGCCTACAGCGGGCGGGGGGGGGGGAAGCTGTCACTGGTGGAGCCTGCAGCGGGAGGGGGAGGAAGCTGTCCCTGGGGGAGCCCTGTTTTGGGGGAGGGGGAGCTGTTCCTGGGGGAGCCTGCAGTGGCGGGGGGGAAGCTGTCCCTGGGGGAGCCTGCAGCGGGAGGGGGAGGAAGCTGTCCCTAGGGGAGCCCTGTTTTGGGGGATGGGGAGCTGTCCCTGGGGGAGCCTGCAGTGGCGGGGGGGAAAGCTGTCCCTGGGGGAGCCTGCAGCGGGCGGGGAGGGGGAGGAAGCTGTCCCTGGGGGAGCCTGCAGCGGGGGTGGGGGGAAGCTGTCCCTAGGGGAGCCCTGTTTGGGGGAGCTGTTCCTGGGGGAGCCTGCGGGGGGGAGCTGTCCCCGAGGGCGGGGCAGGACCCGGAGGGGGCAGGCTCTTGCACCGAGGGGAGCAGAAGCTGGGGAAAGCGGAGGCGGGGCCGCCCCTTGGTGCAGGCGGGAGACCTGAGCATGGGCAGGGCTTTGAGTTGTGCCCGGGCTGAGCCCCGGCACCGCTGGGCTTGGCAGTCCCCAGCCCCGGCACCTGTTTCTTCATTACACGTTAGGCCCGGCGGAGGAGGGAGCGGGCCCGGGGGACGCTCTCCGGGGCTGCCTCTGACAGCCAGCCAGCCCATTAGCCGGCGCGGGGGCTGCCCGGCAGGGCCGGGGTGGAAGCGGCTGGCGCCCAGGAGGGCGGTGTCTGTGGGCTCGGGCAGAGGGGGGCGGACGCTGGCGGGGGCCGGGCTCGCTGCTCCCGCACGGGCCCCTGTGCTTTCGGGGCGGGGCTCGCTCGCTGCGGCTGAGCAGCCAGCTGTGGGCCTGCTGCAAGTTGCGATGGGATTTCCAAGCGGAGGGTGGGGAGGGCTTGTTACCGCCACAGCCCCTGCCGGGAGTCAGGTTCCCTGTGCTCGGGCAGGCCCATCCCAGCCAGGTTTGCAAGGAGTGCATTTCCCTTTGTTCAGGGTGATGTTATAGGTATCCCCGCTCGGTGCCCAGGATGTTTTCTCAAGTTTGAGTTGACTTTTTAAAAACTAGGACATTTAAAAACACTCACATGTTCCTTAGTTACAGAAAATTGACCATTGGGGTGGTGGAGATACAAAACAGAGTCGGTGATAAAAATCATAATTGCATTACAAGTATTTAGTTTCTTGGCTTGTGGATTGCCAGGCAAAACTAACAACTAAAGAGAACATCACTTGTGGATAAGTGCAACACACATTATCTTTCCAGACTAAATTTCCATTATTAATAATGGACATTTTTTGTTTCTGGTGTTTAGGGAACGTAAGAAATTGACACTTAGTACTATTTGCCAATTAATTCGGATCTTGCTAAGCAGGCCTCATTACAACCAACAAAACCAGATATTTAAGGCTGAGCATTCATACACACATACAGCAACCCTAAAATTCTGCAATGTTTTAAGGGTTAATTTTTACAGCAAGAGCATAAAATAATTGTCAACCATAGGTATGGGGGGATGTTTGTTTTGTTTTTTAAGCAAGGGTACCAAAAGAGCAACCATCTCAGCCTTCTGCAAAACTGCAAAAAACATACCTGTTCGAAAGATGACTTGAGAGAGAGAATTGCATTGTGCCCTTTTTGCATCATGATAAAAGGCCTGAAAAAAACATTAAATTATTTATTCTGCTTGTTTTTACCTTAGAAATATCAGGAATGACTAGACTCCTCTTCTTTGCTTTTGCGATGGATCAATGAACTAGAGTGGAAGCTTTCATATCTCTCCACTGAAAGAGTAGGAATGTTGAATCACAAAGATCTTTTCTCCAAAATGCTTTGGTCTCTCTTGGTGTTTGTGGTGATGTCATCTTTCTAGTTCTCCAGTCATCCATTGTGTCTTCAAGGAAATACGGGTTAGGCAAGACCTGAATTTCTAGTATGAGAGAGCAAGCTGAATAAAGCCATTTGGTCCAAAATAGACATACTTTTTTTAGCTTTGCAGAAAGGCATATACTTTCGTTGAAGGGCTCCTGGCAAGTCGGAGCAATCCTCGCTATGCTTACACATGTGCCTAGGGCTACCCTGATTGCACAAGCAAATTTTAGGAACGAGGCTGTCATTTTAGTAGTATCGTCATTTTATTTTAAAACTTAACTATGGAGACTTCTGACTCCTTCATCACTGCACATTTTCTGAGCCGCTCCCCCAAACCTCTGTTGCCGTGCTTTAAACCTGATTGGTGGTAGTAGTGTCTACCACAGAATCCACTGTTGGTTGTAGAGTGGTAGCCTACCACTGATAGTTTGTATCAGCAAAAAGGACAAGGATTACGTCTGGCACTTGCTAGTTTCTAAGGTGCCTCAAATAAATTGGTTAGTCTCGAAGGTGCCACAAGTCCTCCTCATTCTTTTTACTGTTGGGTGTGGAATTCTAGAAGCAATGGCTTTTCTTGGTTCCTTGGCCATTGTCAGTAATCATGTCAGAGTTTAACCTCTTCCAGTACCTTTATGTATAGTATGTGTAGACCGGGGGGGGGGGGGGGGAGTCACATTCATTGGTTGGAAGGTGGAATTCCAGTTTTAGTTGTGCTCAGTGTGCTGTGGGTGCATACATTTAAGACTTCATACTCCACTCAATCCATAGTAGAATGCCCACTAGTATCAGTGAACGGTTTGCAGACGTCAGTGGTAGAATATATAACAACTTCTAGTATTACCATTATTTAGTATTTGGCCAATACCTGATTGTCACGCTCACATTAACTTGTAACACTACACCTGGGGAGGATTGAACCTGAGATCTCTGAATCAAAAAAACCCCCTCATCTGCCTCTACTGCTTGAACTAAAGGATAAGATGTAGGTAGCTCAAAGGCAGTAGCAGATTCAAACTTCTGTACATGGGCTAGCAACTAGAAGGGGATAAAGAACACTATGTTAACATACATTATACCTATTTGTGTCTCCCTCTTTCATCCCTCTGCATTTCCTGCTTTATGGCAACTCCTAATTTCCACCAGTGTGTGAGCTTCCCTCCTCCCATTTCCACATTCTATTCTCTAAAACGATCAGCAATACAAAAGTTATGTTGACATTCATGAGTTAAACTCACTTTATATTGTGCCGCTGCAATGAGATTAATTGGGGGTACAAGGGAGTTCACATTTGTCTGCAGACCCAGGAAAACAGTACTGCTTTAGCTACACTCAGTTCACAGGCATGAAAGCTAAAAGCTTTCTCCCAACCTGGGTAGACAGACACATGCTAGCTCTGCTTGAGCTAGAATGCTAAAACTAGCAGTGTGGGTGTCACAGCATGAGTTAGCCACCCAAGTACAAGCCAGTCTGACCCCCTGGGTCTGTGCTTGGGTGGCTAGCCCATCCCACACTGTTCACAACACTGCTACTTTTAGGTTTTGTCTACACTGCCAATTGAACGACAAAACCTTCCCCTCCACCCCCCAAAAAGACAAAAGTTTTGCCACACGAGTGTCTGTGTGAATGCCTGCGTTGTTGGCAGGAGCACTCTCCTGTCGAAAACGTGAACCCCACTCATAGGAGGTGGAAGTATTTTTGTCTGCAAAAGTGCTGACAAACAGCATTTACACTGCCTGACATTTAGCGACACGGCTGTGTTGCTAAAAGCTGTGTAGTGTAGACAAAGCCTTAGTGAGCAGAGCCAACATGTCTGTCTACCTGGCCTGGGATGCATGCTCCCAGCTGCAGTGTAGACATACCTTTAGAGTGAATTCCAGACTCCCATTGACTTTAATGGAGTCAGGGTTTCAACCTTTTTAAAAAAAAAAAATAGTCTTAGATTCTGCACAGTCTGCATGTTGTCATGTAGAGCGGACCAGATTTGGCTGATGGGACATGTTAGACACCTCTGGTGTGGGTAGACGGATACTGCATAGACTAGTGAACT